AGCGCCTTGTCCAGCTCCACGCTAGGAATGATGGAGAAGCTGGAGATGGACGGTGTGGTGGATGCAATCGCGTTGCCACCTTGCGGGGTGGGGGCAGGGCCTGCAGTGTCCTCCACATTCGAAATTGGTGGCGCAGAGAATGGGTTTGTGGCACTACTCGGGTTGGAAGCCGAGGGAGTGGTGGCAGAGGAGTTGGTTGCGGTTGCCATGTACACGCGCAGCTTTTCCTCGTCTTCATCCTCTGGCCTTTGATCGTTTATCCTCTGGTCCAGCGATTCGACCTGGCGCGCGAATGCCTTCTTCTTCTCCTGGTACGCCAGTTGCTCGGGCGTTGGTGCATAGCTCCACAAGCTCGTCCACATCCTTCTACAGCCTTAGCCCGTCTTTCTTCTGCTCTTGTTCAATGGATTGATGTGCAGCAGATGCGATCGTGTAGCGCGTTGCGCTGAGTTCGTGGTCTTGCGACGCAGCAACCGCCGCGGAGCTCTGGCGTAATGGACAACAAGCCCAGGCCTAGCCCCCAAACTGAGTGTTTGCCAGCCAAGACCTGCCGCGGGAAAAAGGGTATTTCCGCCGGACTTTGTCGTCCACGTCAGCATATTTGCTGGAAATGAAAATTCTATATTCGCGCACGAATCGCGCGCGATGATGGTCTGACAGCCAATTTCAAGACGGTTGGGACGTTGGGCTCCGACGCAGTAAAAAGAGAAGCACAGGCAGAGAGGACGCACGCCGCGACGCACACCTCCTGGCGGCGCGATTACTCATCACACAAGGGACAAAGGAAGCTGAATCACACACCCAATTTGGCAGGGTGCACGAAACTGGTAGAAGGTACAGGTTTGATTTCTATGTTAATTTTGCAGCTAGATAAAGACGTGTGATTTTTTTCATCTTATGCCATTTTGTCACAATCGCGCAACCCGCCACTCTTTTGTGTGCCAAATCTTTGCCTCATGTTTTTGAATTCCTTGTTTGTTTGATTTTCATTCAGGATTTATGGCAACTTCAACATCCGCTTCCCCTCCTGCTGCTCCTCCGGAGACTCAACCCAAACCTCAGAATGCAGCGCCACTGATCAGCCCTTGGATTAAGGTGCACTCCCGCTCATCACCTATCTTCTTTGTTCACCTCTTCCTCTGTTGGATCCGTTCCTCCTTCGCGCTTCCTGTTCACTTTTTCTTCCGCTTCCTCTTCCTCAAGCACAACTCTCCCTAGCTTCATATTATCAATTATTTATTGTTTACTATTTATTTATTTATTTATTTATTATTGTTTATTGTTTATTGTTTATTGTTTATTGTTTTAGATTCGACTAAAATGACTGCTTCGGCGCAAAAGGTGTTGGCCGGATCGCTGGGCGGCGCGATGGAAGCCGTCCTTCTGCAGCCGCTGGACGTCACCAAGACTCGCCTTCAGTTGGACAGGTCGGTGTGCCTTCTTCTTCCTCCTCTTCCTCTTCTTCTTTCAAAAAGCTCTTGCCAACACTCTTCCCCGGTGTCGTGCGTGTCGTGTCATGTGTGCGTCGGTGTGTGCGGCATTGCAGTAATAGTCGATATCGCAACTCGTTCCTCTACTGCGCCAAGACGATATACAAGGAGGAGGGAGCCGGTGCGTTGTACAAGGGTCTCACGCCCTTTGTCACGCATCTCACCCTCAAGTATGCTCTACGCATGGGCAGCTTCACATTCTTCCGGGGACTCCTCGGCAGCCAGGCCACGTCGCCGAGTGGTGCGCCGAAGAAGAAACCCAGCGAGAAGATGGTCATGTGGAACAATTTTGGATCAGGTACGGCACACGGCACACACGGCACACACGGCACACACGGCACACACGGCACACACACAGGTAACGCGATACAACAAATATGACGGTAGCTGACCTCTCTTGGTTGGGCAGGCCTTTGTGCGGGCGTGCTGGAGGCGTTCCTCATCGTGACTCCATTCGAGGTGATCAAGACACGACTCCAACAGCAGGAGGGTTTCCACAACCGGAAGTACAAAAACACCGTACACGCAGGTACTCGCATTGAACCCTACAACTCTCATCATGCGAGCACGTGACTCACCGCGGTGTCGTGTTGTGTGCGTGTCGTGTCGTTGGTCGTGTTCATGAACGTTTGCACGTCCAACAGCGGTAACAATTTTGAGAGAGGAGGGCGTAAGAGCGCTCTGGAAGGGAGTCGCGCCGACGGCCCTCCGCAACGGCTCCAACCAAGCCTGCAATTTTATGGTGCGTGGTTCGATGGCCTGCCTTTTGTTGTTATTTGTTATTATTTTGTTATTATTGTGGACACGGCGCGCGGGTGGCTAACGTTCGCTCGTTCGATGTCCAGGTGGTGGGTATTTTCAACAAGTGGGTGTGGAAGAAAGAGGAGGGAAAGCAGATTGCCGTGTGGAAGACGATGATATCGGGAGCAATCGCCGGCGCTATGGGTACAGCTCAGTTTTTAATACCCTCCCGCTTTCTTCTTTTTTTGACTCTCTATCTCACACGCACACCTCACCGCACACGCACGCACGCACGCACGCACGCACGCGCCACCGCACACGCGCACAGGCCCATGTCTCAACTGTCCGCTGGACGTGATCAAGACGCGGCTGATGGGGCAAAAGATCGAACCGGGCCAGCCGCCCAAGTACCGAGGCGTCATGGGCACCATCGGCACCATTTACAAGGAAGAAGGTACCAATCACTCCCACTATGAGCTTCGCACATTAGGTGCTACAGTTACTGATGGTCGTGTGCGGTGTGTCGTGTCGTGTCGTGTCGTGTGTGTCGTGTCGTGTGTGTTGTGTGTCGCTCGCAGGGTTGTTTGCGCTGTGGAAGGGTCTGGTGCCGCGACTGATGCGACTGGCGCCGGGGCAGGCGATCATGTGGACGGTGGTGACGCGGGTGACCACCTACTTCGAGGAGCAGGCCCAGCGACGAATCGAAGAGGAGCAGCGGCCGTCGAGTCGAGGAGGTGGCTCCTCCTCTTCATCCTCTTCCTCTTCACCATCCTCTTCCTCTTCATCATCGTCATCGTCTCCTTCTATCACCCCAGCGCAGCCGCTACCACACTAAAAACAATAATAATAAAAAAAAAAGATGAATTGATGAATTTTGATTTATTGTTTTGAACTTGTTTAGTGTCGGTCTTTATTCTTTAGTAGTAACGTGACTGACACGGCGGCGTCCACGCACGGCCGCAAATTGAATGGATAGACCGTCGGTGCCGCCTCCCGTAGGCGATGAGGCCGCATCGACAAGGACAGCCTCGATCAAGGGAAATGGAGGTGGCTGGAGGCGGCAAATTTCTGGCCACTTCACAACCGGCGAGTTGTGGTCGATGTACCTCACAGGCACCTTCGTGGGTGTGGCCAATGCTGCCGTCTTCCACCCCATGGATGTTTTGCGCATTCGGTACTGGACGCGTACCACCATTATTGTTATACATTAATTAAATTTAATAGTGCGGGGGGGAGATCTATTATTTGTTAGTTATAAATTGATCAATTTTCTATGCTTCCATCTGCTCAATTTCTCTACCTTGGAGACGTAATCAGATCCAACTCTCACATTCAATTCAATCATGTCCATTTCTATTTTATTCATTATTGAAATAATTGTTTCGTTTTGATGGGAAAGCGCTGACGACTGGTCGGTGTTGCTGCTGCTGCTGCAGGTATTTCTTCCACAGCCGCAAGCTCGGTGAGGGCGTGAACATGGGTCAGCTGGGCACCAAGCGGAGCTTCTGGAACGGCGTCGCCTTCAACATCTGCACCACCGCGCTCAAGCAGATGGCCTTCTACCCCACCCAGGAGGTCCTCAAGCGTGTCCTCGTCGACAAAGGTGTGTGTCGTGTGTGTGTCGTGCGTGTGTCGTGTGTGTGTCGTGCGGTGTGCGTGTTTCTAATTCCAGCGAAACGACGCAGGCTATACGGCGGGCGAGAGTCAGTTCGGGTCGGCCGTGGGCGTCGGCGTCATCCTGGGTCTCATCGCCAGCCCGGTCAACGTCATCAAGGTGCCCCTGCAGGCGGGCATGGAGAGCGACCTGACCGTCGGGCGCGTCTGTCGAGAGGTGTACCGGCGCTACGGGCTCGCCGGCTTCTTCCGCGGTGGTCTGGCCGTCATCACCCGAGACACGGTTCACTTCCCTCTTCATTGACCGGTCGTGCGTGTGCGTGTGTGCGTGCGTGTGTGTGTGCGTGTGTGCGTGTGTTGAACTGACGCGGTGTTGTGACAGGTGTGGTCCGTGACGTATTTTCCTCTCTATTTCTACCTGCGGCAACACGTCTCTGCATTCTTCGACGGCTCGTCGCCCTCCTCTTCCACTTCCACTTCCTCTACCTCTTCTGCTTCTTCCACTTCCGTCTCTTCTTCTTCCTCGTCGCGATCGCACGACGTGCTCGTCAACTCAGTGACGAGCATCACGGCCTCCATCGCGGCTATGGTGGCCTCCTACCCCTTTGACGGGGCTCGCCTGTACAGACAGAAACACTTGGGTACCCCCATAACCGCACCACCGCACGACACGACACGACACACGGCACACACAGCACACGCAACAACCGCACACGACACGACACGCACTCATGAGCTGGTGGTGCTGGCGCTGGTGGGTGCAGAGAATCACTCGTTCTGGCACGGGTTTGCCAAGTCGTTCCATCCGGGTTCCGGCAACGTCAAGTCCCTGACGACCGCGCTGCTGCGGGTGCCGCTGGCCAACGCCTTCTCCCACACCCTCTACCTCTTCATCCAAAACAAGAACCAATAATAACAATAATAAGTACAACAATTAAAATAACAACTACTACTACTAACACGACTAGAGATCAGTGCCAAGTGCGTTCGTGTTTGGTGTTGTGGTGTTGGTCGTTGTCGGCGGCGACAGGGCCGCGCAGCTGCGTTCGCGCCTCGCGCAGCTGCCGAACCACGGCCGCGGGCGGTGCCACCAGGCGCACCCGCTCGCCGGCCTTGGCGAAGAAGACGCCCACGCGCAGCGACCCTTGCGCGGCCTGAAGGCTTGAGAACACCTGCGGACTCGGTCAGCTTGACACCGCACACACCGCACACGCCGCACGCACCGCACGCACACGCACGCAAGGGGGCGGGATACGGACCACAGGGTGGTGGACCATGCGGCCGTTCTTGAAGAAGATCACGTACGGGTGTACGTCCAGCTGGCCACTGGCCACGGCGGCGGGCTGCCACAGACCGTTGAGCTGGTCGGCGGCCTCGATCGCCCTTGTGGTGTTGAGAGTGAACGTGATGAGAGTGGTGCGCGATGAAGACGGAAGACCACCTGGGAAGTACCGCGACCAGCCGGGACCGCTCTGGGGCGAGTTGGTGTTGGACCGCGTGCCGAGCTGGACGCTGACGATGTCGCCTCGTTCGAACTGCGCTGCCTTGCGCGCTTTCCCGCTGCACTGGAGTGGTGAGCGCGTGCGGTATGGTGCGTGTGCGTGTGCGTGTGCGTGTGCGTACTCGAGGAGGACGGGCATGCCGTAGGTGTGCATGTCGCCATCGCTGAAGAGGCTCGTCGCGATCTTCTTCGTCACCTCCGAGCCTGGCCCCTTGCCCAGCGCAGAAGAAACCACCGACACGCTCATGAGCGTGCCTGGCGCCAAGTTTGTTTAGCTCCGGCTTGCCCTCTTTTTTTAACTCCGAACGGAGAAGAGGCCGCCGGCAGCGCGTACTTGGATCGCAGTCGATGAGGAAGTGCAGCAGCTTGGCGGCCGTGTCTGGCCCCGGCCCGACCGGGTCGGTGTAGGTGGCGTGGACGTAGGCCGCGTCATGGTCCGGGGTCGGGTAGAGGAAGGTCCTGCTTTTGGGCTTGGGCCGGATGGTTGCCCGCCTGCCGTGGTGCTGCAGCTCGACGTTTCTGCTCTCCTTCTTGTCGAAACGCGGGAGGCCCACCAACTGGCCTCGTAGGGAAATAAATAAATCAATTGATCAATTAATAATCAATAAAAGCTAAAATGAATAAATGAATAAATGAATAGCTGCTAAATAAAAGAAGACAGGACGTACGGCGTGGGTGTGTGGGTTGGCGAGTACGATGGCGTAGAGCTCACGACACACCAGCGCTGCTCGCGCCACTTCATTCTTTGTCCCCCCCCCCAACCATCTGTTCAGATCATGCACAACGGTATTCAACTGTATGAAAGCAGATGGTACTGGTTGGTGGAGAAATGAGAGGATGAAGTCCCAGAGCTCACGAGGCAGAGCGTCCATCTTGATGGTGTGATGGCTTCTAAATTTTTGTTTTCATTTTTATTCTGATTGTTGCAGTGCTGTACAGAATTAGACAGGAAAATTGATTTCCACCACAACATAACTCCCTGGCATGTTTACTTGTGCCTTGGAGGACATGGATGAAACCAACACCTTCACATTGGATGTAGTATGTATCTGCTGTGTCAGCCTGGGTAACCTGGAATTCTGCCTGTGATGGCAATAGATCAGAACACTCCTTAAGAAGCTCAAATGTAAGCTAGCTCATACCCCAGTGAGGTGCTGTGTGAAGAAGATAGCTGCTTTTGTGTGAAGTGAAAGTGGCCCAGTCTTGATCTTGGATGTGCCTTCTGCCAGTGCCATGAAGATTATCAGTTCATCCTGTGTGGGAGAAATAAGTGTAAGTCTAGAAAGTGGATTGCCTTGAACAGGACACATGACAAAAATACCTGCAAGTATTCATCTGTGCATCCCCCATACTCCAAGTTCTTCAGTATGCTGGCTGCTGCCTTGTTGGCAACCTTCTCAGCAAACTTGCCCTAAAGTGTTGTCAGACACACAAACAAAAAAGGAGGGAGCATGGGTGCCTACCTTCTTGCTGTGTGCATAGCTGCCAAAGATGCAACCAGTGGTGGTGGTAGCAGTGATGATTAGACCTATATGGTCACCATCAGCAACTGTGTCCACCAGAACAATCTCCTCCTTGACGTGCACTTGTTGCTCCTCTGTGCCATGTGAGACATGAGTTTAATACACCCTAGTTGATCCAGGAGAAGACTGATGGGTGTGCACCATGCTTGCTGAGGTAGTCCACAATCACACTTTGTGCTGCAACGATCATTCTCTCAGCCTCGTGCTTGGGGCTGGACGCAGTAACTGGCACAATCGCAAGTAAAGTGAGAGTAACCTCAATCGTCGATTACTTGGCGGGGTTTCTACGCACCAAAGCAGCAAATGTGGATTGTTTCGACCTTACCGCGCTCACACAGGGTGATGGGTCGCACGGTGTCCTCGAGTGGCCTTGTTCGCATCTGTACATCGCCGGTGCTACGGGCGAAGAACGAAGGCAAAGCGGGTGGTTAGAGAGACGAGGAAAAGAACGAAAGAGAGATGGCGGTACCTCTGATCCACATCCACGTCGAACTCAACGCCCATCCGTTGTACAATGGGCTTGAACACTGTGGTGCAGTAGGCCACCTGCAGCGCTGTGAGCACGTTCGTGCCACCGCGGTACGTGACCACTACCAGAGGCCCACGACGCGCACAACACGACAGGCACGCCAGCATGGTAAATGGACAATTGATAAAGTGAAAGGCAAGCCTGGACAGAGCGGTGCGTACGGGTCTCACGCGGGGCAAAAACGAGGCAAGGCAGTGACATGTGAATCAGCCACGGTACACTCCTGCGCGTTTCGTGTGTTGTGTGTCGTGTTATGGCGATGGTAAGAACGTGTCAAGGAAGCCAAAGAGCTGGCCGTACCCGGGCGCGCCATGGGCGGTGTACTCCGTCCGTGCGTACGCAGACCGCTGGTCGCCCGGCCGGAAGGTCACCAACTTCGACCCTAACTGGAAAACATTAATTGAAAAGAAAATAAATAACATATAATAAAGTTGGTGGGGAGGCCACACATACCTCGGCGCCGTCGAGGAAGCCGTCGAACAGGGCTGAGACGAGGCGTACGCCGGCGAGTTGGGGCGCCGTGAGGCCGCGCTCGCGCTCGTTGCGATCGGAGAAGACCCTGATGGGTCGCCCCAGCAGCGCACTCAACGGGAACGAGTTGCGGATCATGGTGGCCTGGCCTCGGCCTTCCAGGTGCGCTGCGCCTCCGTCCATGGCCCAGTAGAGGTGGCCCCTCACGATGATGGTGAGGCGGCTGCCGTCCATGAATTGAGCCGCGCGCATCTGCCAGGCCTTGATTTTCCTGTTCCTCTCCTGCGCCCTGGAGTTGGCCTCGTCACCTTCATCCTTCATCTTCGCGAGCTCAACTTACTTTTTGAGTTAAAAGCAGTTTATATATCCTACGATTCTCCAGTAAAGACTCCTATTGGTGGGCTTCCGTGCCCAGGGCTAGATTCAACATTCTTTTTCTTCGTGGAAGAGTACAGGCTTACTTACGCTCCAGCTTATATGTTTGAAGCTCTGACGTGGTTTACCGTACACTGACGATGACGACGACTCACTAGTGCTTGTCGTGTTCGCCGTAGATGCCGCAGGTGAATAGCTTGAAGGGTGGTACCGTACGCACGAACCGCAGCATCCACCCGCCGAAGTGGTCGTAGATGAACTTGGCGCGTAGCCACGAGGCGATCTCCCTCTCGACGCTCACCAGCTCCGTCCTCAGGTGCCCCACCTGCGCCTCCATCGTCGCAATGGCCTCTACCGCGGTGCGAATGCGTTGCTTCCTCTTGGCCAGCTGGTTGGGGGTGAGTTCGGCCAGCACCGAATTCTCCAAGATGCGCAGCGTCTTGTTGTCGCTTACGATGGCGTCGTGCAGAACTTCCAGCTCTTCGACGATCTCCGCCCTACGACCCTCGAGCGGCGGCAGCGTAGGAACCGGGTCGATGCGGATGTAGCACCTCGTAGGGGGGTCGTACTTGTCGTAGAGCGCGAAGGCCAAGAGAAGAGCGCAAGCCGCCATGGCACCTCTGATGCTCGGCGAGGGCCGGACCAAGCGAAGTGGTACGTCGATTCGTATCATCAGCACGACAACGGAGGTCTTGCGAACTTCTTCTTCTCGAGACGTCTGTTCTCCTTCTTCTTCTTCAACTCTCTACACGCTCTCTGCAGCCCAGACTTTGCCGGCTTTGCATTTGGCGCGCTTTTGGGTAGGAATGACAGGAATTCGTGGTATTTCGGCCAAAGGCCAGGAATTCTCTTTGTTGATTGGAACCAGGACAAGCGAGCGAGTAGGACTGACTAGCCACAAGTTTAGGACTTGGGCTTGTTGAGGAAGCGGAGCGACAGGTAGGCCAAGAAACGCGTGAGGATGATCACTCCGACAATGAAAATGATCTGCATGCGAGTTGGGTGAGTTGTGGAACATATGTGAAGAGAGAGAGAGAAGAGAAACGTACGTCGGCCCAGATCTCGGTCTCTACGTTGAGTCGGTTGAGGATGTCGTTGCCCGTGATCGGGTTGGAGCTGAAGGTGGACGGCGTCGAGGGCGTGTAGTTCTGATCGCCCAGGTCGAACTCGTTGAGCAGCATGAGCTCGTAGGTGTACTTCATGAACGAGGTCCAGCGCGCCCACCGAATCCACACGCGCAGGTTCTCCTGGGCGATGAAGAAGCCACCGAGCAGGACGGAGCCCAGCACGAGGATGATCGACGCCGTCAGGGCCTTCTTGACGTCGAGCACCGTGGCACCGATCAGCAGGCCGATGCCACTGCCCAGCAGCGCGAACAGACACAAATATATGATATAGAGGATGAATGTATCTGCCCTTGGTGCTAGTCCGACCTGTGTAAGACGAATCACTTAACGTGAGACACACGTTGCTTGCAACACCTCGACACATGCAATAGAATGTTGGGAATGCGTAAGGGTGTAAGGTGCGCACCATCCAGTACGTGATGCAGGCAAAGACGATGGGGAGCACGAGTTCGAGCGGCGTTTCGGCGACGACTTTGCCCATAAAGTAGGCCGACAGTCGATACGACCCTGTCGCTCGTTCCTTGTTTAGCACTGCTCGCTCGGGAGGGACTGTGCGTTCATGCATGAGTAAGGCAATCGCACACATGGACAACTGTGTGTGTTTGTGCGTCAAAGGAGCACATACAGGCGTAGAGGGCGTTGAACCAAGTGTTCATGATCCAGAACATCGTGCTGAAGAACAAGAAACCAGTTCGGTCGGCGATTTGGTCCTCTGCATTCCCCCATACCAGCGTGAGTCTTTGTGTCGTCGTGTGTGTGTGTGTGTTGCACTTACCGGTGGTGTCACGCCTGATCCACAGTAGGCCGGCGAGGACGGAGATAATGGCGACTTGGATGATGCGGTCCCAGCCCAACAGGTCTCCCCGTCGCTGGATGAAGGTGCGCTTGGCCAGGACGTAGGTCTGCTGGTAGAACGGCGTCGGAAACTTCTTGCCCTTCTTCATGTCCCTGATCGAGGCCTTCTCGAGTTCGGCGTTGTCGGTCTCCAGCGACTGCTGACCGTTGTTGCCGGCGTGGCCGCCGTGTCCCTCCTCCCGGTCCTTCTTCTCGTTCTCGGCGTAGGTGTCGATCAGCAGCTGCCGCACCGTCCGCCCGTCCTTGATCTTTTGGTTTGAACTCACAACCTCCACTGCGCCCACATTAGCGCCGTGTTTGTGTGCGTGTGCGGTGATGTGTGTGTGTGTGTGTGCGTGCGTGTGTGGGGTGATGTGTGTGTGCGTGCGTGCGTGCGTGCATGTGCGGTTCCGCAGGTGTTCCTGCTGTCGGCGGACGACGTGTGTGTGTGTGTGGAAATGCGTACGTGCGAAATCAGCGGGGTTGTAGGTCGAAGGGGCGTAGAGGCCGAGGGAGTTGAAGTAGTTCATGATCTCGCGTGCGCTGCCCGAGTAGACGACCCAGCCGCCCTCGGCCATGAGGAGCACCTTGTCGAACATCATGAACATGGCCGACGACGGCTGGTGGATGGTGGTCACCACCGTGTGGCCGCTCTTGGCCAGCGTCTTGAGCGACACGATGAGCCCGAGCGACGTCGCGGCGTCGAGGCCCGACGTGGGCTCGTCCAGGAAGATCAGCGACGGGTTGCTCACAATCTCCGTCGCAATGTTTGTTCGCTTTCGCTCACCGCCCGACACGCCTCTCTATTTCCCACATAGCCCAGTCAGTTGTGTGCGTCGTGTGTGCGCGTGTGTGTCGTGTGTGTCGTGTGTGTCGTGCCTGTCGTATGTGTGTCGTATGTGTGTCGTGTGCGTCGTGTGTGTCGTGTGCGTCGTGTGCGTCGTGTGTCGTGTGTGTCGTGTGTACATACCACCCAGGCGCCGCCGACGATTGTGTTAGAGCACCGCTGGAGACCCATCTCAGTGATCACGTCTTCGACCTTCTCCCGTTTCTCCTTCCACGACATCTTCTTGGGCAGCTTGAGATAGGCCGCGTCGCGCACGGTGTTGCGCACGGTGATCTTGGGGAAGAAGATGTCGTCCTGCAGCACGTAGGCCATCCGGCGCTTGAACCGGCGGCCCTTGACCACCTCGCCGTTGACCAGCACCTCGCCCGTCACGTTCGACTTGATGCGCTGCGCCAGCACGTTCAGCAGCGTCGTCTGTTTATTGGGTTGATTTTAGCACGACCAACACGCACACACACGACACACACACAGGAATGCGAACCTTGCCCGAGCCGGTGGGACCCATGATGGCGACGACCTGGCCGGCGTGCACGTGCCCCGACACGTTGTTGAGAATGGGAATCTCCCGCTTCTTCTTGAACCGGTTGGTGATGCTGGCCGGGATGGGCAGCTTCAGCAGCATCCGCGCGATGAAGCTCTTGGGCGGCAGCGGGATCACCACCTTGTAGTTGATGTTGTGCCACTCCAGGTTGAGCCGCCACTTGGGCGTCTGCGACGAGAACGGCACCGGCTGGTGGATCTTGGCGTACTTGCTGACGATGTCGCCCAGGTGCTCCTCGTCCACGCCGAACAGCTCTTCGGCCTGCAGCAGCTCCTTCCCGTGGTCGGAGTCGCCGTCGGCCTCGAGGTCGATCTCGCGTCCGCGCCGGTCCGGCTCCCGCCCGCCGCCGAGCTCGTCCATCTCCTCCTCCTCTCCGCCTCCTCCTACGCCTTCATCGCGGGCTCGCTCCCTCTGTTCATCGACTTCGTTCGTCTGGTCTTCGCCCCTGATGTCACGATTGCCCAGGCTGGCCATCCTTCTTTTTGAGTCCTTCTTCTACAGACGAAGTGGCAGTCTTCTTGTCTTGTCTCGGCTGTGCGTAGTGTATGTGGTGTCGTGTTGAGTACCTGCTGGGGTAAGTTGCGTAATGGAGGTCTGGCCTGCCTCCAACTCGCTTTAAAACCGACAGATTCCTGGTTGGGACACGGAGATAAAAAGAACCAACATAAAAAAGGCGATAAAAAACAAACCTAACGGGAGGATTCGGCAAATGTACGGAAATTTCATTTAGAGAACGTGATCGCCCAATCGTCCGGCGGTGGAGCTCTCGGTCACTTGCAACACACTGCAACCGTTAGTTTTATAAAGAGCCGACAACACATGTTTGATTGGCGGCGATAATGTGGTACGTACCGCGGAGCCCTTCGGGCGAAAATTCGGACCAAAGTCACTTGAACTTGCCACCAGGCGCGTTCAAGCCTGAACAAACGCGGGCCAGGATTGATCAAAGTGAGCGCGGGGCATTTGATGATAGCTCGGTACGTGCTTGCTCGCGTGTGCTGTGTTGAGTCATCTGAGTGTCATTGCGAAATACAGGGTCGGAACTCCTCTCGCCAGCTGCAGCAAAAGAGTGCGACCACAAGCAGTTCCGAGTGAGTGTCATGGCGGTTGTGCGTGTGCGGTGGTGTGTGTGCGCGAGTATGTAATGGTACTTGTGCACGCGGCGCCCTGGTATTGTGGAGCTCGGCGTTGTTCAACTCTGTTGGGGTGGACAGGAGGAGGAGGAGCATGGAAGAACAGTCAAAAGGACACACAACAACGCTAGAGAGTGAGAGAAGATGAGGCCAAAGTGTGGCGATGCATTGTTGACTGGCTCCATCGATGGAGGGCTAGGAGGGGGCAACGGGAGGTGAGCTCCCCATATCCCCATCTCACACCAACACGCCGGAGCTGGAGGAAGAGGAGGACTTGGCCTGGGGCGCGGGCGCCTCGTCTTCGTCCTCGCCCATGACTCGGATCTTGTGCTGCACCTTGAACTCGTTGAGCGCCTTGTCCTTCTGCAGCAGCGACGCGTTGAGGGTCTTCAGGATCTGCTCGATCTGCACATATTCACAAGGTACCGCACAACAGAACACCAACGTAGTCAGTTGGGGGTGAGAGTGCACGTGCGGTGGTGCGTGTGCGTGTGCGTGTGCCACGAGCGACAAAGGGTAGGAGTGTGGGGGACGTACGCCTTCGAGGTTCTTGCGAACGGCCGGGAGCACTTCGCCCACGGTACGCTCGACGAGCACGCCGCCCACCAGTCGATAGCATCGTCGCCCGGCATCAAGGCCACTCACGGCATCAATCACAAGCCTGGCAATTACAGAAATGAAAATAAGCAAATCCGGGGGGGGGGGGTGAAGGAAACGGATGCTTGCAATTTAAATGGCAATAAAATGGCTTGTAAAAAGGGGCAATTGAATTGCCATACCGGTGCTCGTTTTGTTCGATTTCCAATTCACCAATCTTCTGCACGAGCTCGTTGCACTCGCTGCGCATCGCCTGGAATTGGCGAACAATCTGCTGCTGTTCGGGATTCGTCTGCATCTTGTGGCAATCGAGAATCGCCAGCCAAAAAATAAATAAAAATACTGTATTTCTTTGTCGACAAAAATAGAGAAACGGAATAGTATTGTTGGCCGTGCAACAGCTGCGACGTCAAGTGAGCAAGCATTCGATTCGACTCTGTCCAGACAGTGACAGAGATGGCTCATGCGAGTCCTTCCACACCTGCCGCCGGCTCGCTGTTTGCCGGCGGGCTGACGGGAATGGAGACCGCCAATTGCCGGGTGGTGTGCCGATTTAGGCCCACGGTGCCCAAGGACAAGTCGGCGAAGCCGCCCAGCAGCACCTACAAGTATTCGTTCAACATCCTCTCGCCCATCCAAATCGAAATCGCCAAAGAACAGGTGTGCACCACAATTCTCCTCTTTTTATTACTTTCATTTATGAAAATTTTTTAGATATCTAATTAAATAATATTTATTTATATAATATTATATAATATTCATTCTTGTGCTTTGGCTGGTGGCGGCAGATTGGGCAGAAGACGTCAGACAACTTCCACTTTGACAAGATCTATGACGGCGCTGCAACACAGGTGCACACTACTCTCCCTACACACACTGACGTTGTACAGGCAAGTGTGTTGGTCGGCACCACACTCACGCACCGCTCACTCTTGGTGGTGGTCACCACTTGCGCAGGAGCAAGTCTACGAGCACATCGCCAAGGAAACGGTCGAGTACGTTTCCGCCACCCGCTCTCCCTGAACCGCCCAGGCACTTGCACTCACGTACTGACTTGCCCGGGGGTTCGGTGCGCTGCGTGTCCCAGGGACGTGTTGAACGGCTACAATGGCACTGTGATGTGCTACGGCCAGACCGGCGCCGGCAAGACCTACACCATGTTCGGACCCGAGCTCGAGAAGGACGCCCTCAAGGGCATCATCCCGCGTGCCATTAGGTGCGTGTGCCCCCTCTCCGATTCTTCTGCACGTGCGGCAGTTCTAATCGAGACACATGCACCACCACCACCACCGCACGCACACGCACCACCGCACCACCGCACGCACACCACCGCACGCGCACACGCACGACAGTCAATTGTTTGTTTACATCACGAGGGATCGGGAGACTGAGTTCGCGATCAAGTGCTCGTTTCTCGAGATCTACAAGGAGCGCATTCGCGACTTGCTCAACCCCAAGAACGCCAACCTCAAAGTCCGTGAGACGCCCAGCCGCGGCGTGTGGGTCGACGGCATCACCGAAGAGGTACGTTGTGCAGTACCTGTGTATCGTGTGCGTGCGTGTGCGTGTGCGTGTGCGTGTGCGTGTGTGTGCGTTTGTGTGTGTGCCGTGCGGCTGCGTGTTGAACGCGCGTTGCTCGAGCACTGAAGGCAACCTATCCACCAGATTGTGTCTACTGAGTCCGAAGTCATGGAGCTTCTCAAGTTTGGCGCCCAGTTTCGACAAATCGGCGCCACGAGTTCGAACGACAGCAGCACACGCGCGCACAGGTATTGTCATTGCCACTATTATTGTTTTTTTTACTTCTGTTGTTGTAGTTGTTAACGAATGAGTTTTTGTTCTGTGTGCGGTGGTGCGTGCTAGCTTGTTCATGCTCACGCTGACCCAAAAGTTCCCCGACGGATCCGCTAAAACGGGCAAACTCAACCTCGCCGACTTGGCCGGTGCGAAAGGCCCAGCCCACGTTTGCCGCCTACATTCAAGTCATTGACCCCGACCACACGCAACACCGCAACACACGCGCAACACGCACCATGCAGGATCGGAAAATATATTCCGTTCGGGCGCGACCGGCGCGCAGGTCGAGGAGGCCAAGAAGATCAACCAGTCCCTCTCCGCGCTGGGCAACTGCATCAAGGCCCTGTCGGAGCGCCTCCCGCACGTCCCCTACCGCGACTCGAAGCTGACCCACATTCTTCGCGTACGCGCGCCTCCCTTCTGAAGTCAGAATGAGTAAGTGGTTGACTTTGATCGACATGTGTCGTGTGTGCCGTGTGTGCTGTGTGTGCCGTGTGTGCCGTGCGTGCCGTGTGTGCCGTGTGTGTCGTGCACAGGATTCGCTGGGCGGCAACGCCAAGACGACGCTGGTGTTGTGCTGCTCGCCGCACCCCTTCGACGGCGAACAGACCCTGTCGACCCTCCGATTCGGCCAAAAGTACTGCTCCTCGTTCCCCCTGGCTTTCCTCCTCTGGGCGCCCAAAGCTCGTTCTCATGTTTTTTTTTCGCGTGTGTGCGTTTTTTATTTTTCTCTCTTGAATCCAACAAGGGCCAAGTCGCTGCGGAATATCGTCACCGTCAACCGACAGCGAAGCAACTACGAACTGCTGCAGATCATCGAAATGCTCAAGAAGTGCGCACCTTCCCCGGCCTTGCCTCGTTTCGCCGCACACGCGCGTGCGACAGTCGTTCTCATCGCGCGCGACGTGCACGTTGTTTCCAGGGAGTTGCTGGCCATGAAGAAGTATGCCGAGTATCTGGAGGAGGAGCTGCGCAAGCTCAAGGGACCCAACTGGAAGCCCTCCATGCCGCGACCCAACTTTGTACGCCAGCTCCCCAGACGTCTGCCTGTCGACACATTTAGTCGGCCCGCCGTACACCCGCACAGGGACTCATCGAGTTGCGCGCGTATTGTGTGTGTGTGTGTGTGTGTGCGTGTGTGGTGTCATTTGTTAACACAGATGAGTGTGAGCATCACGAGCATGGAGAACAAGGTGCTCAACGAAGGCGCCGCCGCAAGTGGCGGCGGCGGTGGTGTTGGCGGCGGCGCCAAGGGCGCGCAGGCAACGACAGACGGCGGCGGGTACCAGCCCTATTACGAGGGCGAGGTGGAGGAGGAGCCGACCGACGACGAGAATGGCGGCGACGTGATCGATGCGCTGGACATCGCTCAGCTCAAGGTCGAGCTCGAGACCGCACGCGAGGAAGGCCAGATGCGCATCGATGAACTCACGCGCGAGCTCAAGGAGGTGCGCCTCACCGCGCACACGCACCACCGCACACGCACCACCGCACCACCGCACACGCACACGCACACGCAGAGAACTCATGTTGGTGCGTGGTAGGCGGCCGAGCAAGCCGAAGAGGATCGAGAGAAGATGAAGAAGCTGGCGGAGGAGCTGGCAGCCAAGCAGAGGGAACTGGACCAGATGCGGCGAGAGGCCGAGGACAAGGAGGACGCCCTCAAGAGCCAGGTCTCCGAGCTGCGCTACGAGGCCCAGAAGGCCGCACTCGATGTACGCAGTTCCCTGTCCGTGTGTCGTGTGTGTCGTGTGTCGCGTCATCGCGCTCGCTCACATTTTTTTTCAAAGGCGGAAGCGGAGGCGGCCAAGGCCACCATGCTCGCGCTCACCAACTCAGATCTCCTAAAGGTGCGTTCCAGCACGCATGGACTCGCCGTAAACGCCTGGCTCACATACACACCACACACCACAACCACACACACACATACACACCACCGCACACGATGTGAATGACGTAGGCGATGGAGGAGGCCAAAGCCAGCCTGAGCCTCCTGCACGAGAGCCACCGCCAGCAGGAGGAGAACGAGCGACGACGGCGCGCACAAGAGCTGGCCGAACTCGAGCGCGCGTTCGCGGCGGCCGCGGCCGAGCGCGAGCGGCAGATCAGGCAGGAGTTGACCGACAAGGCCGCCCGCGACAGCGCTGATGAGCAGCGGCGGCAGGCCATGGTGGCCGAGCAGACCGCAGCGGCCGCGGCCGCTGCCACGGCGACCACCAGCCAAGATCGGCTGACGTCAGCGACGTCGACAACAAAGGAAACGGGGTCTGAGGGCGCAGCTGGCGGGACCTGCCCGCACTGCGGGCGCTCCCGGCCCGGCGACGACGGCGGTGGACGTGACGTCAGCAGCAAAGACGCGGACGCCGAGCGCGTGCGACCGGACCAAGGCAAGCCCAGCAAGTCCACCGACGACGGCAGCGGCGGGGATGAATCGAAGCCGGCGATGGGCGACCAGCCGCGGAGCCGGCGGCGTAGCGAGGTGGTCCTGGGCGGCGACAGGCGCAGCAGCCTTGGGCAGGCGGCGCTGTCGGACGCCGGGGCGGGCAGCGCTGGCGCAGGCGCTGGCGCAGGCGAAGCTTCGTCGGGGGCGAGGGCCAGCCAGCGGTTGGGTGGTTCGGTGATGAACCTGCTCCCGCGCCTCACGTCGTCGGGCGACCTCGACAGCTACGCCGCATCGTCGCCCTCGGCCCTGCCCGGCCTCGCCGACAGTGCTGACGTCATCAAGCTCGCGGCGCGGGCGGCCAGCAAGTCTGATGGTGATGATGACGTCAGCAAGCGGCCGGCCGGCGAGAATGTGGCGGAGGAGATGGTGGTGAAGACGGGAAATGACAAGAATGCGGTGACGCGCACGCGGGACGACGAGACCCGTAAGTCGCGGACCGACTCGGGTACGCGCATCTACGACCCGCTGCTGTCGCTCGAGTTCCCGGAGGAGCGGTGGCCGACGGCGTTGACTTCGACCAGCCAGCTGCTGGCCCAGCTCAGGACCTCGGGCAACGTCGAGGCCAGCGAGGGCGTCGGCTGCCGCAGCGCGAAGGAGATCGAACGCGAGGCCTCCATGGCCGTCGCCCAGGAATTCTCCATAGGTGCCGACACACGACACGCACGACACGACACACACACTCACCACCGCACACACACATACGAGCAGGTGTGCTCGAAACGCTGGATCAGCTGCGTCGTCAGGTCTCACAGTCCCAAGCACTGAACGTACTCTCCCATCGTCGCGCGTGTGCGTGTGCGGTCGTGCGTGTGCGCTAAACCGGAAAAAAACAGGACATCGACGCCAAGAAGCTGCGGAATGTGGAGAGTCGCATTCAGGAGATGCAGGAGGCGCTGCTCAAGGAAAAGGAGGCCAAGAACCGGGTGCAGGACGCGTTCGACGAGGCCCGGGTCCAGTGGCAGGCGCGCGAGGAGGAGCTCAAGCGGCAGCTGTCGCTCTACGAGCAGGGCGTGCGGCGCGAGATCGAGCGCGAGACGCTCAAGTCGACCAAGGTGGTCAAGAAGCAGCGCCAGCGGCTGCGCGACGCCCTGTGGAGCAAGAAGGCCTACTCCCGCAAGGAGGCCCAGCACCGCGACCCGCCCACCAAGGTACCTTGAACACACCCCACGACACACACACACACACACCACACACGACCGCACACGACCGCACACACCACTACGGCCACACGCACTTATTTTGTGTCGACTATGTAGGAGGGCTGGCTGACCAAGCAGGGCGGCCTCGTAAAGAGCTGGAAGCGGGTACACGACTCATTATTTTATAATTTTATTAATATTTAGTATTATTATATTTATATTTATATTTAATGTTATTTTTGTTATTATTTGGCAGAGGTACTTTTTCCTGCAGAAGGGGAGCATGTACTACTTCGACGACCCGAGCAAGGACAAGGCCCTGGGCTTCTTCGACCTGCGCGGCTGCGCCGTCATGGACGCCGAAGAGGAGACCAAGAAGTACCACACACCACACTCGCTCTCGTTCGTCTGTTGCGTAATTGACTTTGATCGTGGGTGCGGTGTGTGCGGTGTGTGCGGTGTGCGTCGTGCGCAGGCCGTTCAGCTTTGGCATCTTCCACAAGTCGCAGCGCACGTACTGGCTGCACGCCAAGGACCGGCAGGAGATGACCGAGTGGATGGACACCCTGCAGCAGGCCATCGACATGCTCGACGAGGAGGCCCAGCACCACGACCCCCCCGCCAAATGACACACACCACACAACACACCACACACGACGCACGACACGACCCACGCGCGATTTACAATGTACAAGAAAGCTTTGCTGTAGTTTCGTGTTATGCGCGTGCGCACACACGACACGACACGCGCGTGCGATTGGGGGGGGGGCAAAGTTGAAGTTTAGACGGCGTTGAGGCCTCGGGAGGTCTCGCCGATGAGGCTGTCGAAGAAGTCGAGGAGCTCGTCCATGGCCGGCCGCTTGTCGGCCTTGGCGTGCCAGCAGCGCTCGACCATCTGACGGAAGCCCTCCGGGCAGTCGCTCGGCACCTGCGGCCGTCGGCCCTCCAGCACATCCAGCGACACCCCCATGAAATTGCGCCCCGCGAACGGTTGCCTGTGTTGTGTGCCATGTGGCGCGTTTTACACGTCAGCCAAAACCGCACACACCGCACACACTCATGAGACACACACGTACTTGCGAGTGAGCATTTCCCACATGATGATGCCGAAGGAGTAGACGTCGGCCTTCTCGGCGTACTTCTCGCCGCGTATGACCTCCGGTGCTATAGTTCGGCAGAAAAAGAACGAAATTAGGGGGAAAAGAACGAAAGCGACAACGTTAAGACTTTCGAAAAGCGAAGAGCGAAGGAGGGGGGTGCGTGCGTACCAGTCCAGCAGGGCGTGCCGCAGCGGGTCATGGTCGCGTTCTCTTCCTTGATGCGGGCGAAGCCAAAGTCGGCGATCTTCACGTTCCAGTTCTCGTCGACGAGCAGATTGGAGGGCTTGAGGTCGCGGTGGATGATGCACGGCTGGAGCGAGTGGAGGTAGTTCACCCCGAGCGCGGCGCTCTTGAGCATCCGCAGGCGCTGTTGCCACGTCAGCTTCACGCTGCGGTTGCCCAGGATGTCCTTCAGGCAGCCCTGGCGCACGAACTCGGTCACGATGCACAGATTGGGCATCCGCACGCACGCACCTGTTGTGTGTCGTGTTCGTGTCGTGTCGTGTCATGAGTGTGTGCGGTGTGTGTCGTGTCGTGTCGTGTCGTGTCGTGCGGTGTGTGCGGTGTGTACCGATGAAGAGGACGATGTTGGGGTGATGGAGTTCGGATAGGAAGGCCATCTCGGCGCGGAACTCGAGCAGGCGGCGCTCGTCGAGGTTCTGCTTGATGAACCTCTTGACCGCCACCTCCACACCCTTCCACGTGCCCTTGTACACAACCCCGTACGACCCCATCCCGATCTGTCGTGCGTACTGTCAGCTTTCACACGACACACGACACACAACGACACACACGGCACGACACGACACGTGCCTGTTTGCCCATGTGGACTTCGTTAAAGTTGATGACCCAGCGGCAGAGGTTGGCCGAGGTGAGGAACCGGTCCTCGTTGGTCAGGCCCTCGCCCACGGCCGTCTGCACCGCCGGATCGCCATCGTTCAAATTATTGTTGTTGTCGGCACCACTGCCGTCGCCGGCCTCGTCGGCCCCGATCTGTCGCTGGGTCGTCACACCGCCGAAGAACCGGCCCTCCAGCCCCGGCACCTTCACCTCATACAGCCGACCCGTCCCTGCACATCACCACAATCTCAGCGCGTGCGGTGGGTGCGTGTGCGGTGGGTGCGGTGTGCGGTTACGCGTCGTTGTCGTGTCGTGTCGTGTCGTGTCGTGTCGTGTCGTGTCGTTGGTCGTGTCGTTGGTCGTGTCGTGTCGTGTCGAGTCGAGTCGAGTCGAGTCGTGTCGTGTCGTGTCGTGTGTGCGGTTTACCGTTGGGCGAGTCGTGCATCTCGAACTTGCCGAGATCGAGCATGCGGAGGTGGTCGGCCGCCTTCGGCTCTGAGAGCAGCCGCGCGCGCAGGGCGTCGGACAGGACCACCTGGCCGCCGTGGGTCATGGCCGTGATGCGCGCCGCCGCGTTCACGGGCGGCCCGTAGTACTCCATGCGGCGCGTGGTGGGGTCCTTGCCCATGCGCGGCTCGCCCCAGTGCAGGCCCATGCGCACCCGGAGGCCCTTGAACAGCACCCGGTCGTCGGTGTCGCCCCACTCCTCGGCCGCGCCCGAGTGGCCGAGCAGGGCCGGCGGCCACTCGACCGCCTCGAGCAGCGCCGTCTGCGCCTCGACGCACCACGCCACCGCGTCGCCGGCCTCCTGGAACGCCAGACAGAACGAGCCCTCGCCCGAGTTGCGCTCACGGGCCGAACGCACCTCGTAGCCGCGGTGCTGGGCCAGAAGCCGCCGGAGGAGCTGGTTGTGGGCCAGCGTGGCGTCCTTCATCGCCTCGGCGTCGAACTCCCACAGCGACGCGGCGCTGGTGATGTCCGAGAACACGATCGCCATCGCACCCGTGGGCGGCGCCACGCGCACCGCGTTCGTCGTCGCCGACGTGTTCGTCGCGCGCATCATGGCCAGCGGGTAGTTGTACATCGAACCGGCGGCCGACGACTCTGCGCTCCCCGCGCTGCCGACGCTGCCGGCCTTGGAGCCGGCGCGCTTGCCGCGCGTGCGCTTGGAGCTGGCCGACAAGCTGTTGTGGAAGCTGGTCTGGCTGTGGCTGCGGTTGAGGCGGTTGTAGGCCGAGGCCGTGGAGGAGGAGGAGCCGCCCTGGGACGAGGAGGACATCTCGCCGGTGAGGGAGCTGAGGCGGGTCACGATTTCGAGGAAGGTGGGGCGGATCGACGGGTCGGAGTGCCAGCAGCTGCGCATGAGCTCGTCGTACTCGGGCGTCATGATGAACGACCCGTCGGCGGGCATCTCCGGCCGCGCGTCGTCCCTAATCACCGCCACCGCCACCGCCGCCGGACTGCCATCACACGCCCAGAGTCAGCACATTTTTGGTTATTATTATTATTATTATTATTATTTTGTTTTGTTTGTTTTGTTAATTGTACTCTAATTCTTATTTTAATTCTTGATATTTTAATAAAAAACAATGTTGGCTGGGGGTACCTGAGGCCGGGATAGGGCTGGCTGCGGGTGAGGAGCTCCCAGAGGATGATGCCAAAGCTGTAGACGTCGGCGAGCACGAAGTCGAGCTGGGGCTGGTCGTTGAGGACCTCGGGCGCGGTCCACGGGATGGAGCCGAGGCCCTCGTTGCCGCCCTCGCGCCCGGTCTTGATCTCCTGCTTGAGCCGCGTCAGCCCAAAGTCGGACACCTTGACGTTCCACTTGGCGTCGAGCAGCAGATTGAGGGACTTGAGGTCGCGGTGCACGATGCCCGACGAGTGCAGGAAGTGCATGCCCTTGGCCGCCTGGTAGGCCAGCTTCACCTTCAACGCGAACGGAATGTCTGGAACCAGGAATGTGTAAGGAATATCATAACAATGTGTGTTGTGCGTGTGTGGCGTGTGCGTGTGCGTGTGCGTGTGCGTGTGCGTGTGTGCGGTGAGTGTAGGGCGTGTGCGTACCGGGGATGAGTTCGTTATGGAGTACATCGAAGAGGGATCCCAGGGCCATGAACTCCATCACGAGGCACATCTTTTCGGCGCTGGTCGACGCCGCCATGAACAGCACCACATTGGGATGCCTCAACGCCATCATCACATGAATCTACGCACACAACACACGACGCACACAACACGCAACACGACGCGCAACACACGTGAGCGCAGATCGAGGGTGTGGGTGGGCCGGGGCGTAGGCGCACCTCGTCGCAGAAGTTCTTGATCATTTCCTTGCTGGGGTTGTGGGAGGGCAGCATCTTGACGGCGACTTCGGTGCCCCGCCAGCGGGCCTTGTAGACGGACCCGTACCCGCCCATGCCGAGCGGCTCGCCGAGCTCGACCTCGTCCGGGTTGATCTCCCACTCGGGCTTGCGCTTGGTGAGCCGCAGGACCAGTAGCACGACGGCAATCACGATAAGCGGCACCACGATCAGCAGCAGGCACATCAACGGGATCAGCACACCTACGTGCAGGTGCCACATCAACAACAACACAGCGTCAGCCAGCATCATCATCATCATCCATCATCATCATCATCATCATCATCATCATCATCATCATCATCATCATCATCATCATCAGCAAGGGCGAGTGAAGTACCGAGAACGATTCCCAGCACTGCGCCGGTGGAGAGTGAGTCGTCGCTGCTCGCCAGCTTCTCGCAGTAGTCGCCCTGCAATCACGCGCAGTAGGCCATTCAGCGAATGTACCGGTGGTGTGTGTCATGAGTATTGTGTGCGTGTGCGCGGTGGGGAGCGCTTACGTCGAATCCGGAATCGCACACGCAGACGCCGTTGGTGCAAGTGCCGCGATCGGAGCAGAAGGTGCCGTTGAAGACGCAGCCGGCCAGCGAGAAGGTCGCCACCCCATCACACCGCACGCTCGCCAGCGTGTTGAGGATGCGCCGCTTCACCGCCTCATTCGCACTCGCCACCGCCATACCGTAACTAACACCACACACGACCGCACACGACACACACGACACACGGTCAGAACTGTTGGCGCGGCATGACCACTGCGCACGAGGCCGCGTCGTACTTGTCGGCCATCTCTACGGCGAAGATTTCGGTCTGGGTCCACCAGATCCAGTCGAGCAGCGCAGTCGAGGCGTCGCAGTTGTCGGTCGGCCGCGTGTGGATCATGACCGACGACCCGACCACGAAGGGCCAGCTCGTGTTGCCCCGGCCCTCGAGCTTGAAGATGCCCTCGGCCGGGTCGGCCAGCGGGTCGGCGTACTCCTGCATCGTGGCGATGATGTCGCGCGCCGGCTGCGGGGCCGTGCGGTTGCCCGATTCGGTCACGATGAAGCTCGGGCCGGCGTAGAGCGACGGGATGATGTCCGGCACGATCCACATGCCGATCGAATTCGGCTGCGCGAATTCTTCCATGATGTTTCCTACAACCACCTCGCGACGTAAGAAAAAATGCGTGTGTGTGTGTGTGTGTGTGCGTGCGTGTGCGTGTGCGCGCGCGTGTGGTGCGTGTCGTGTGTGTGTGTCGTGTTGTGCGTGTCTGTTGAGTGTCGTGTTGCGCGAACCGTTAACGCCGATGGAACACGGATTGAGGTCGGGGAAGGTGACTTGCATGCCGGGCGTGATCTGAAGTAAATAATGAGCGGATTTGCAAAGAGACACCACCAATCACCATCATGTAGTTACCTTTTCAGCGAATCGCGGGACGCGGTTGGCGAGAACGGTGGTGAAGATCTGGGTGATGATGGACGGGTTGGTCTGGTAGATCACGCAGATCGGCGCGGCCGGCAGGTACGACGTCAAGTTGACGTTGAGCGTGGCGATGCGCGAATCGTTCCAGTACTTGATGTTGCCTGCACGAGCCCAACGAATCCATTAGCAACTGCGCGTGCGGTGTGTGCGGTGTGTGCGGTGTGTGCGGTGTGTGCGTGTGCGGCTTTTACCCAGGTAGATGTCGGCGAGAGTGGGAAGGTCGAATCTGAGGGAACCGTAGGCAAACACGTCGACGCTGTAGGCCGCGGCGACGGCGTAGGCCACCATCGGCACCACTGCCACATCGGGCAGGGACTCCGCCTCCTGGGCAGTCAACTCCACATCCAACCCACCAAAATCCGTGAAACCTACACACGACGCAGACCACATGCGCACACCGCATACATGTCAGGTTCCAGGGACTAGAAGGCGCTTGGCCATCTGGGGAGGAGCACGCGCGTACCCTGGACCATGTTGCTCACGGCGTCGTCGCTGCTGGTGCTGTAGTACTTGAACACTTCCGTGTTGGACGACTGCTCATTTCTGTCAACATTACGTTGAGTGTCAGCGCCGCACACGAATGAGAGAGCGCGGGGGCGGTGGTGCGTGCGTACGCCCAAGAGGGATAGATGGCGAGCGGCGCGCCGACGCCCACGACGGCGGCGGTCGAGAAAGACTTTCGGCTGTTGCATTGAACGATGGGGAAGGCGTCGAGCAGCAGCCTGAATAACGGCACCGGCAGAATCGAATACGAGCGCTGTCCCGCAATGTCGACCGCCTGCAGACATCAATCGCGACTGTGAGTGCACACCACACGACACACGACACGCACACGACACCAACACGACACTCACGCGCAAGGCGCACGACGTAGAAGGCGAGGGTACCGCGGTGTTGGTTTGGGTCCAGAACAGAATGTTGAGGAGCTCTTTGACACTGGGGCAGCCAGTGACGGGATTCGTAAGATTGGTGGATAGGGTGACGTAGAGGAGATAGCTCATTGGCCACGACTCGGGCTCTGTTTCGCAACACAACACGCACGACACATGACACACGACGACGACACGACGGCGACGACACACGACGACACGCACACGAATGGAGTTGGCCTCGAGTTCGGGTGTTCGGGTGCGGAGCCAGGCAACGTACGGTCGGCGTTGGTGATGTCGAGGGTGAAGGTGCCGTTTTGTACGTTGCTGCTGCCGGCCTCCATGGCTACAAAGTGACATTGTGTGAGTCTTCCACCACGCACTCGAGCTAGCGCGCTGACTATAATGTGTTGCGCCGCACCTGTTCGAATGGCGTCGACGGTGGGCGACACCGTGTTGCCGGCCTTGTTGACCATGCGCGCGTAGGTCACGTTGTTGCGCAGCGCGTACGTTTGGTCCATGTAGGCCAGCGAATAGTCGGTATTCTATAGTGTGGCGCAACATGTGTGAGTCCAACAACAATCACACTGTGGGGAATGTGAGGGCTGCATACCGCGACGAACAGTGCCTGGGCGGTGTGGCCAGCGGTGATGTTCATGCGGCCGTCGGCCCGCGGCGGCATCTGCGTGAGGTTCCGCCCCACGCTCTCGTACGCGGCCTTGAACGCCGACGAGAAGTTGCACATCATGTTGCCAAACACCTGGTCCACCACAGCAATGTAAGAAATTGCCTTGAAACACACGACTCTGCAGGAGAAATAGAAATGGATCAGTAGGTACCTGGGTCACTTCGAGAGTGCCGTCTGAATAGGCGCCGAGGCGGATGAGCTCGCCGGGAAGCTTGCCGTCGGCGTCGAGCCCGGCATTGAGCGCGGCGATCGCCGAGTCGTTCCAATACCTGATTTCGCCCAGGTAAATCCGCGCCAGCGTTTCGCCGTCCAGCACCTGTGCCCATGCCATAAGATAAAATGGCATCAGCCTAAATGAACACCAGAAATCAAACAGGGTTGGTGTGCTGTGCGCGGCCGTACCACGGAGTCACCGGCGTCGAGTGTGGGCAGGTTGTAACCGGCCACCATGGCCGTCCCTTCGTGCACGAATTGTTCAAACAAAGTGTTGGCCAATGTAAGAGGAAACAATGGCGGTTTGGGCCGTGGGGTACCAAGGAAGGGCATTTGCAGGATGTTCTTGCCCGCATATCGGTTGGCGACGGAGGCGGTTATGTTGGGCGTCAGCACCGAGCCCAGAACGGTGTAGACCACGCCGCCACCTGCATTCAACGAACCGTAATTGGTACCAGTCGTGGCCACGTTCACGCGTGACGGGGCAAGTGCCGGGAAGGAAGGTGGAGTAACTCAGCCACTCATCGCGCGCCAACGACCAAAGGCGGAATTTCCAGCCAATGAAAATGAGGCGGACGATTGCGGTGGAGGGAACCCTCCGGACCAAGTAAAGAAAGTGCCTGCGCTGCGGGAGGTACCTGTGAACCGTGAGAGTCCGGAGGAGCCGGTGTCGGTGATGAAGAGCATCTCGACGCTGTCCTTGTGGCTCAGGTAGGCCGCGGCATAGTCGTCCCACAGGGCCTTCTGGCTGACGTCTCCCGATCCCCACACCGAGACCGCCTCAACGCCTGCGTGTCAAACACGTCAGCGAGGCACAAGGAGCACGAGCGGGTGGCCGCCAGCCGGTGATCTTTACGCGCCCACGTTGCGGGCGCCGTGGCGTGAAAGGAATTCAAAATATGGGCTGTTTCAAACTGGGTGCAAATTTGGAATTTTTGAAAATGGTCATATCCCACGTTTTGGGTTTTGGTAACAGTACGCAAACGGCGGCAAGTGTTCAACACGGACCCGATAATAAGTGAGGGAGGGGTGTGTGCGCAGAAGGGGTGGTGGCCAGCAACACATCAAAGGGAGGTACGAGCGGGGGAATGGGTATGCACCGGATTGTCGCCGGGAGGAGAATGATGGGGAGGCAAACGAGAAGGCCGAAGAAAGAAAGAAGTTGGAGCGGCCGTGCCATGGCGCGTTGTGGCCGTTTGTTTGCTTTCGATGTGTAGTAGTAGGGTGGTTGTGGAGTCACAGCGGGGCGGCAGCTCTTTCACGCGAGGGCTCGGCAAAGCCGGCGGGTAAGCGCGGTGTGACGGGGGTGAGACGAAAAGGCGAAGAGGCCAAGGGAGAGGGACTACCGGCGGTCTACGTCTGGCGTGTCAGTCGACTGGCGGCTTCGATCGCCACCAGCGCCCAATCAACGAGTGGGGTCAGCCTCCGGCTAATCACCGCCAACCAGCTGGAGATTTCGTTGGGCAGAAAGAAATGAATTAATTCTCGGCCGTTGGCGCCAACAACACTTGCGTGCTTGGCCACTAGCTCACAGCAGGAACATGGTCACTCACTCGTGTTACGCGGCGTGTTCGTCGTCGTCGACGTGCTCCGAGTCCCGCACATCCGTGACCAGCTGCACGACACATTAATAGCGGAGTTAAACTCAAGCCCTCACCATTGATGGTGCTGGCTTAGGGGGGGTGTGTGTACCATACAACCGGGGGCGTGAGTGATGACGAGATCGGGCTCTACGCGCAGAGACAAAACGACGTGGCCATGGACACCACGACAAGGGGGTGGTGCGTTAGGCAAATCATTGAGGGGTGGTTGGGGAGGGGGGGCAACGTACTGGCCGACAGGGCGGCGAGGGCCGAGGTGACGCCGCACGCCCAGAACACGGGCGTCTCGCCGTCACGAATCGTTACCGCGTCGCCAAAGTCGACTTGCGCGATGTCCCGAATGCCGATGGCCGCCGGGTCGCCCATGTGGACCGGCCGGCCGTGCGCCAACGCAATGTTGCCTGGGGCGTGTGGTGCAAACCACAAAGGCTGAGTTTGACGGTGCACCGCACGCAGGGCCGGGCACGCGTACCGGTCACCTGGATGGCCGTCTCGACTTTGTCGACAGGGATCGGCCGCATGCTGACCACCATCGGGCAGTTGAACGGACCGACGGGCGTGCACTGTGACAAAGCGATCATCACCGTCGCCGTCGTCATCACCAGCATCATCGTCACCGTCATCAAAAAAAAAAAAAAAAAAAAAAGGGACAAGACCAAGACGACGAACCTGAATGTTGGTGGTGTACATAGAGACGTTCTTGCCCTCGGTGATGTTGCGCACTTCGATGCCGCCCTCCTGAAGCGCGCGCTCGAAGCCGAAGCTGCAGCCCAGGAAGAAGCTCACCAGGTCATCTCGCCACAGCGCCTTTATGTCCGACACCTATGGTTTCGTGTGTTGTGTGTGTGTTGATGTCGTGCGTGTCGTGCCGCGCGCGTGCGTGCGTGCCGGGTACCTGCTCGACGAATTGCCCGTCCTTGAAAACGCGATAGCTGGGGAGGTCGGTTCGCACATCGCTTCCCTTCGCCAGCTTCTTGATCTCCGTTTCGCCTGCCCACGCGTCGTGCGACGAGGTTGGTGTGACCAGCAACAGGCGCACACGCACCACAGCACACACGCACACACCGAACAAAAAACACACGGACAGGGAGCGTGTACCGGCAGGCACGACAGCAAGGAGGGGGCACGGCCCGGGGTTCGCCCGGCAGAAGGCCTCAAAGTCGGCTGCGTACTTGGCCGGCATGATCACCATACTGCGATGAATCCATTCATTCAATTCATTTTCATTCAACTTAGAAAATGTAAGATTAATAAATAAATGAAAAGATTAGGCTGGTTTACTTGGCTTGCTGGTAGCCGAGGCACAGGCCCGAGGTCGGACGTGTCCACTTGGCCGTGCGGATCTGCTCCCTCACCTCGCGTGGCGAGAGACCAGCCATTGACTCCTTCGTTATTATAATAAATAAAATAAAATAAAATAGAAAACAGCTTTTATGTCTAAGAACATTCTCTTCTTGTCTGTGGCCAATCCCGTCACACATATGTTGGCAAAACACGCTGTATATTGTGATGGCATGACGATATATGATGAGAGGATGATCACTTGAGCTGGGCGTGGCCTTTGGCCTTGATGTGCTGGAAGAGCTTGTTGCGGGTGGGGAACTCCTCGCCGCACACCCCGCATCGCTCCTCGTCCTCCTCGGCCGCCGCCGCTTTCCGCCCTCGACCCTTGGCGGCGGCCTTGCCCTTGGCGCCGCCTCGTCGCGCTCCTCGCGTGTTGATGTCTTCATCGTCGTCATCGTCGTCTCGAGCAACAGCCGCGGTCGCGGTAGCGGCGGCCTTCTTCATCATCTTCTTCTTCTTGGCATTGGTGAGTGCCGGGGCCGGCTTCGTCGTCGCGCTGTCATCGGTGGCGTCTTCGCTGTCGGCCGCGGGCTTATTGGCCTTCTTGTTGTTGGCGCGTCGTCCGGCCTTCTTGCCGCCTCGCCCGGCCTGCGCGGTGATGATCTGCTCCCGCTCCTGGCGTCGCTCCTTCCTGCTCTTCCGCCCTCGGCTCAACGCGTCCAGGTCCTCCTCCTCCTCCTCTTCATCTTCTTGTTTGACGTCGGCATCTTCATCGGCTCCTTCATTAGATGGTGCAGTCTCGTCCACGGCGTCTTCCTCATCGTCGTCATCCACACTCTTGTTGCTCTTCTTCTTGTTGTTCTTCTTGTTGACGACGGCCGTGGCGACGGGCGGCTTGGCTGCTCCTTTCTTGCGTCCCTTCCGTCCCTTCTTCTGCTGCGGCTCCTCCTCCTCTTCCCCCGCGGCCTCACCGCCGTCCTCGTCCTCGAGGAGCACGTCGAATCGCGAGGTGGCTGCAACCGCCACTTCCTCCTCTTCCTCCTCTTCTTCGTCCTCCTCTTCTTCCTCCTTGTTCTCGTCTTCGCCCGCCTCTGGCTCAGCGTCTTCCTGAGCATCGGCATCTTCTGTCTCGCCGGCCTCCTCCACCACCGCTTCCTCGGCCTCCTCCGCCACCTCCTCATCTCCATTTCCTGTTTCTCCTTCTTCGGCGGCCAGGTCTTCCTCCATCAGTTGATCGGCGAAGGCCTGCACGCTCTGAAGATGCTTCTTGGACTTCTCGTGGTTCTGCCACGCCTTATCGGACTTGAAGTTCTGTGTGGTGGTGTGAGCTCGATAAGTGACAGCCCAGTTGCGTGATGATTGGAGATCACAAACGCACACACACACACACACACACGACACAAGCGCTGCCACGCACCTTGTTGCAGTAGGCACAGAAGATGTGTCGATTTGATTCGTCCTCGTCCTCGCCTCCCTCGAACTCGCGTAGGGTCTCTTCGAGCAGGGCATCGTCCTCGTCGCCAACGCCGTTCTCCTCTTCCTGGGCCGCGAGCTCTGCCTGTAGTCGCTTCATGCGCTCCTGCTTCTCGCGCTCCTGCTCCCTCTTTCGCTCGGCCGCTCGCTCGGCCTCCTCCTGCTTGCGCCGCACCACCTCCTTCATGTGCTCGCTCACTCGCCTATCGCGCTTCTTGATGTAGTCCACCAGGTGCTTCACGTTGTCGTTGAAGGCACGCTTGGCCTTGTCCCGCTCCTTCTTGTTCTCCTTTTCCATCGCTCGCTTCATCCGCCTGCAGAGAGCAAAATAAACAAATAAAGTGAAATAAGCAAAGATCGCGCTACGCCAAATCAATTGTAAAGAAATGAAAGTTGAATGGAGAGAGAGAGAGAGCAGTGTTGAGAAGGTAAGGAAGGGTACCGGCCATCGGCCTGGGTGGTGTTGTAGCGGTCGCACCAGGCAAAGGTCTTGCGGGTGAAGAAGGCCTCCCAGTACGAGTAGAATCGGTGGACATCGGCCCATTCGGACTTGGAAGTGCCAAAGGCGGGAGCCTTCTCGCTCTTGGAGCCGCCTTCTGCCTTCGGTGGCGCGTAGGTGTCCTCCTCTTCATCGAGGGTGGTGAACAGGCGGCCGTAGACCCCGTAGAAGCCATCCTCGTCATCTCCAAAACCGCGGAAGCAGCTGGCGTTGAAGTAGGGCCATATGTTCACACCCTCGTGGTGCATGGCGCCCTCGCCCTCCATAGTGCCATCGCCGCCGCGCAAAATCGATTCTCGATGCGAATCGTACCAGGAGCGCTCCTGCGGATCGTTGAGCACAGCATACGCGCCCTGGATCTCTTGGAACTTGCGATGGGCCTCCTCTTGCTGATCCATGATCTTGTCCGGATGCCATTTGAGCGCCAATTTTCGATAGGCCGTCTTCAGTTCGTCAGCGGTGGCCGTGCGCTCGACCCCCAGAACCTCGTAGTGGCACCTCATCGCTTGCCGTGCCGCCATCGCTTCCAGAATTCAATCGATGCAGTTCTGAAATGAGATTCCCGCGCCAATCGCAGAAGATCTGGCCAGGCGCGTGCCTTAAATTCCATTCTACAAATTCCACGTTCGAAAATGCCAAAGAAAATGTGAAATGATCAAATAAACATTACCGCACTCGATCGTGGGAAAGCGAAGATGAAGCAGGGTGCGCGGCCGGGAGAAGACAAAGAAGAGGTCTATGAAGAGGGCGAGGACGAGTCCGACGAGGAGGATGAGGGCGAAGATGAAGAGCCCAAGCTTAAATATCAACGGCTGGGCTTCAGCGTGCTCGAAATTTTGAAGGACGATTCCGCTACGTGCATGCACGTACATGAAAAATTTCTGGTTCGCTCCTACTCCTTGCCGCGCTCGCTTGCTGAAGGATTATCTCGTTCAATTTTTTCGTTTTTAATAAATAGCGATTAATAGATTGTATTTTGGACTGCGGCATTGGCGCAATGTTATGATTGTATGAAACTGCCATGCTTTGGGTGTTAATGCATTTAATTAGATTGTCTTCAAGCACTCTTGCTCTTGATTTGCTTCGCCTTTGGTGGCTGATTTTGGATCGGGCAGACGCTGGGCACGAGGACGGGCATGGTGTACCTGCTGGACTTCACCGGGAACATGATCAAGAAGTACTCCAACCACTCGGCTGCGGTGAACGAGATCTCCATCGACGAGACCGGCGAATACCTGGCCTCCTGCTCCGATGACGGTGCCTTCACCTTCCCCCTTCCCCTTCGTGTTGCGTGTCGTGTCGCATTACATGGGCATCAGCCAAGGGGGCGAACGTAGTATTGTTCAAGGCCTACCTGCCATGATGCCCTAGATTCCTTCTTCTTCTTCCATCACTTCTCTCGTCGACGCGCGTACCGGCACGACACTCACTCACATGCGCGAGTGCTGTACCCGGGTGCAGGGCGAGTGGTGATTCATGGCCTCTACTCGAACGAGATGGTCGAGTTTGCCTACCGGTCGCCCATCCTGAGCGTGGCGCTGGATCCCCACTACGCGCGGTCTAAGAAGCGCTCGTTCGCCTGTGGCGGCCGAGCCGGTAGTCTCGTCCTCAACGTCAAGGGTACACCCCGGCCTTCTTGTGCGCATTGATGGTGGTGTGGCGGTGCCTTGGTGCAGCCCTCACGTTTGCTGGTGTGCGTGTGTGGTGGTGCGTGTGCGTGTGCAACAGGGTTCTTTCGATCATCGAACAACGTCATTCACGCTGCCGAAGGTCCCATCTACGCCATAGCGTGGTGCGGCTCGTTGATCGCTTGGGCCAATGACATCGGTACGCATAGATCTCAATTTCAAGCTCACACATTGTGCGACGCACCGCACAGCCATGACTCACTTCGGCTGACCCACGCGCCCACAGGAGTGAAAATCTACGACGTGAACACGGAGCAGCGGATCACCTTCATCGACCGACCAAAGGGAAGTCCCAAGGCTGATCTGTACCGCTGCAGCCTCTGTTGGGAAGACCCACACACGCTTCTCATCGGTTGGGCCGACATGGTCAGAATCGCTGTCATTAAGGCACGTAACCCTCCTCTTCCACTGATCCAAATGGTGGCGGCGGCAGCAGCCATGCGATCGAGGTGCTGACCTCGTACCACAGGAACGAGTGGAGCACACCCTGCCCACAGCAGCACCCACGCGCTACGTCGAAATCGCTGAAGAGTACTCCGCACCTCAGACCACTGGGGCGCACTTGATCGACGAGCGTATTGTTGATGAGGTCACACACACCACACGTTGCATGACGCACCACCAGGTTCCAGACGACAGACTATTTCGTGTGTGGAATCGCTCCGTTTGGGGAGTACCTGTGCCTGCTGGCCTACATCGAGGAGGAAGAGAACGGACGCAAGGTTCCTCAGCCACCGGAGCTCCGAATCATCACCCGGCACAACGAGGAGGTCTCCTCCGACGCGCTCACGTACGTCTCTCGCGCGACGCCACTCGCACACAACATTTTTAACATTTTTCACGTGAAATGTTTTGCGTTTGCATTTCGAAAAACGTTCTGCAAACTTAGGATTCATGGCTACGAATCGTACAAGGCCACTTCGTACCGCCTCGACCACCTGGCGAGCGAGTCGCTCTTCTACATCGTGTCGCCCAAGGACATCGTCCTCGTACGTCCCCGAACGCTGGGTTTGCCATCCACTACCGCTCACGTCTCGACACACACACACCGCACGCACGCACGCACGCACGCGCAACAGGCAAAGCCGAGGGACTTGGACGACCACATCGCGTGGCTTATCGATCCCTATCGTGCGCGGTACGAAGAGGCCCTCCAAGCCGCGGAGGCCAACGAAGCGCAACTGCTGCGGCACAGGCTCATCGACATCGGTGCCTCTCCCCCCCGGACCCTCCTAACTTTAGCTGCATTTATCAGATCTGACGTATGTCGTGTGTGTGTGTCGTGTGTCGTGTGTGTGTGCAGGTGAGAAGTATCTGAACCATCTGTTGGAGAAAGGCGAGGTGGCCAAGGCAGCCGAGCTGTCGCCAAAGATTCTCAAGCGGGACGGTGCCCTGTGGGAGAAGTGGATCATCGAATTCGCTCGCCGGCGGGAACTCAAGGTACTATGCGCGGCCATACACGACACGACGCACACGACATACACAGCGTTGACGTGTGATGAACGTGTGCGTGTGATTCAGGAAATTGGAGCGTACATTCCGATCGCCAACCCACAGCTCAAGGACTACGTGTACGAGATGGTGCTCAATCACTACCTTCGGCACGACCACAAGGGCTTCTACAACCTCATCACCGAGTGGCCGCACACCATCTACAACATCCAAAACCTCATCACCACCGTTCAAGAGCGCGTCAAGGAAACCACCGACATTCAGCTCATGGACGCCCTCGCCACCTTGTACGCGCCTACTCCTTCATTTCTTTCTTTCTTGCTATTTCAGTTTCTTTTCTTTTCTATGTTTATTTTATTTGATAACGAATCACTTTGTTCGCTCGTCCAGGTACACATACGACCAACAGTTCGACAAGACACTCCATATTTATTTGCGCCTCAAGCGGCCTCATGCCTTCGACCTCATTGGTACGCACACGCACACGCACACGCACACGCACACGCACACGCACACGCACACGCACACGCACACGCACACGCACACGCACACGCACACGCACACGCACACGCACACGCACACGCACACGCGGTCGTGCTTACGAGTTTCGTCTCCCATCAGGCAAGTACAATTTGTTCCACGCGATCCAGGACAAGGTGCTCCTGCTCATCGAGTGCGACCAGGATCGGGCCATCAAACTCTTTGTCGACAACGTGGACAAGGTTCCCGTACGTACTCTCTCCATCTCGCCCCATTTCCGGCTCGCCTCCAACGCGTCTGCTAACCCGCCGCCGCCGCTGCCGCTGCGGCTGGGTGTAAACAGGTCAAGACCGTGGTTCAGCAACTGAACGACACCCCGCGAATCCAGCACGCCTATCTCCACGCCCTCTTCACCAAAGGTTTGCCCGTTCTTCTTTGCTCGTTCCCCTGACTCAGAGGAAAGGTGAGCCTTGGCCTGGTAGATTGACGCGCGTGTGGGGTCTTACAGATCCCCATCTCGGCGAGGAGTACACGCTGCTCCAGCTGAAGCACTACGCCGAGTACGACTACAAGCAGCTGAAGCCGTTCCTCATTCAGACCATCTACCCACTCGAAAAGGCCTACAAGATCGTCGAGGAGCGCAAGGTGCTGTGTAGTGTGTGTGTGTGTCATGTGGCGCGTCTCACCAACTCGTGTATGTGCAGCTCTATCCGGAGATGGTCTACATCTTGGGTCGTATGGGAAACACCAAGGACGCGTTGGACCTCATCATCCAAAAGATCGGCGACGTCAAGCAGGCCATCGAGTTCGTGCAGGAGCAGCGGGACGAGGAGCTCTGGGGCGATCTCATCACCCAGTCCATGCGAAACCCCAAGGTACGTCTCCTAATTCTTTATGATTTTTATTTTATTTTTATTCACTTTTGTTTATTTGCTTTATTTTCTTATTATTGAAATGATTTGTTGTGTTTCAGTTCGTGTCGGGGCTTCTGGAGCACATCGGAGCGTTCGAGGCGGTGAACCCGCTCGACCTCATCCGTAGGATCCCCAACGGAATGGCCATCGAGGGTCTGCGCGACCGTCTCGTGAAGATCATTTCCGATTACAACCTCCAGGTGACCGTCATTTCGTCTCTCACAAAAGTATCACAAAAGCTACACACACACACTAACGCGCGCGTTGCTTGTCGTGCGTGTCGTGTGCGATCTGTTAACAGATGTCGCTGCGAGAAGGGTGCAACACAATCCTGAAGGCAGATTGCGTGGACCTCATGGACCGGTTGTACGGCGGACAGCGGCGGGCGGTGTCGGTGTCGCCCGACATGCACTGCGCGCTGTGCTCGGGTGTCATCATCCCGACCTCGGTCAAGGACGCCGGCGACGTGGTGGCCTTCTTCTGCAACCACGGCTACCACACCCGGTGCCTCAAGCTCGCCATCCACACGGCCCGAGGCGGCGGCATCAACAACAACAGCAACGCCGACACCCGTCCCGAGGGTAAGTCTCCCACTTCAAACCAAGTCCTTGTGTGTGTGTCGCAATGACTAACTGCACACGCACGACACGCAACGCGCAGGTACGGTGGAAAATTTGTCGTACAACAGCATCAGGGCGGCGGAGCGGGAGATGTTGAACGAGGAGAACCTGGCGGCGCTGCGAGGCGGGCAGCTGGTGTGCATCATCTGCCACCACAACAAGGTCAAGGAGCTCAAGCAACGACAACAGAAACAGCAGGCGGCCCCCAAGGATGATTGGGCCTATTAGACCTTTTCCCGCATTTATCCCGTATTTTGTTTTAGGTTGCAAGGTAACAAAGTCGACAAAAAGTCACCGTTCACGTAAATTTCTGACAGGGGTGTATGAATTATTCGCAGGTTTGTGGTTGAGAGATTGAATCGTAATTACTTGCGAGATGGATCTGGAGGCGCGGCGCAAGCTGGGTGGATTGATTGACAAGGCTACATCCACGGGCCACCTTTCGTTGGAACCACAGCCACTGAGGGTAAATATTCATAAACCTTCGCTAAAACCATTAATTGCAAAATGTACACACGATGCGATCTCACTTTTTTCGACTGGACAATGCCAATAGCAAATCAAGGCGATTGCCAAGAAATCAGATGAGAACGTAAAGAGTGCTTTCCATTTTCTGTCGCAGAAGCTCAAGGCCGACAGTTCCGAGGTACGCTCCGTGCTCTGCTCCCCCTCTCTGTTGCACTTGCCCTCCCCCCAAGAGTCGGGTTGTTTGAGGATGTAGCGCACAAGCACTTGATCTGATCTGCGTGGGTCCTCTTGATGTGCGCAGGTGCGCTATCTGGCCCTGTTGCTCGTGAATGAGTTCTTCACTCGCTCGGCCTGCTTCCGCGCCCTCCTTATCGACGAGTTCCAGGTACGGCTTAGCCGCATCTCGCTGTACCACTACTGGCTTGTCAGGTGTGGTGCTGATCATCACACTACACGACGCACACAACACACACAACACACGCAGAACTTCCTGGAGCTGGTCGTGGGCACCAAGGTGTACAAGCCGCTGCCGCCGCCCAGCGAACGCGCGGTACAGCTGCGCCAGAAGGGACTCGAGTTCATCGAGAACTGGCATGAACAATACGGCCACGCCAACAAGCAGGTAATCCTTAAATCAAAGCCTCGTTTGTCGTGTATGTGTGTGTGTGTGTGTGGTCTTCTGATCTCTTATCTGGAATGCGACCAACAACGACAACAGTTGCGCGTGGGCCACCACTACTTGAAGCACTCGCTGCGCATGCGATTCCCCGAGGTGCGCCTGCAGTCGGAGATCGCCGAGCGTGAGCGCAGGCAGCGGGAGGAGCAGACGCAGAAGATCCTGCGGGTCAAGTTCGAGCGGGTCAAGAAGGAGATCGACGAGTACGTGGTCGAGCAGCTGCAGCCTTTCCTGCTTGAGATGGACGGCTGCTTCGACATCCTCATGCCCCGCGACTTCGACGCCGCCGCGGCCTCGGCCTCGATCTCTGTCGCGTCGGCTGCCGCCCGGGCCAGCTCGACGGAGGGAAAGGGCAAGGAAAAGGCGATCGACGATGGCGATGACGGCGATGAAGTGGGGCTTGAGTGGGAGTCGGTGCTGGGCGCTGATGAAGATGAGGAGGAGGAGGAAGACGACGAAGAGGTGGACGATGTGTTGCGACGTCACGGCATCGGAAGTGGCGGCGCCTACGAGCTCAACATCAGCTTCGACAAGAGCTTCGCGTCGATGATGGACGGCGATGACGGCAACGATGAGGGAGAGGAGGAGCAAGTGCTGGGTGCCAGCGACGCGACGAACACGGCGGCGGAGAGGAGAGATGGCGACGCCGAGGTGAGGAAAGAGACCAACAAACCGGTGGTGGATTGCCTGCGTAACGACCTCCGTGCGGTGACCCGCCGCTACGGCCCGCTCGTCGATGAGTGGTACGATGTGCTCCTCAAGGTCGACTTCCCGCTGCCCGGCACCGACTCGCCGGCCACCGACGACGGTAAGCGTTCGTGTGCGTGTATGTGTGTGTGTGTGTGTGTCGGTGTTGCTGATTGGCGTCGTGTGGGCAGAGCTGCGGGATGGCGAAAAGCGGCGGGAGAGGGACCGACTGCTGCGGCAGGTGATCGAGCTCAGGTCGGCCATCTCGGCTGCCGTGCGCAAGTGCGGCGACCTCGGCATCACCGTCGCCGGTGAACCGAAGCGACCAGCCGCGGGCCTCGACGCCGAGACGGCCGCAGCACACCAGCAGACCGCGACTACGGAGGAGGAGAAGACAAGCACACGGAGAGAGAGCGAAGCGGGCGAAGAGGACTCAGAAGAAATGACAACAACGACGGCCTCTTCTTCCACTTCTCCCTCTCACCACCACAACAAGCGGACACTGGCCGAGCTGTTCGGTGAGAGCGACGACGAAGAAAACGATAGAGAAGAGGAGAAGCGGCCAAAGATCGATGACGAAGAAGACGAAGAAGACGAAGAAGAGCTCGAGTTCGAGGAGGTGAGCATGATCGCAGATGTGGATGACGATGAGGTGGACGTGGAGGCCTTGGACGAGGACCAGACCGACGAGGCGAAGGCCGGCGATGAGAGCATGGTGGCCGATTCGCCGGCGCCGGCAACAAGGACACGCAACTTGCTGACGTCATCGCCGTCGCCCTACTCATCGTCGACAGTGCGAACGGCATCGTCGCCCGCAGCCGGCGAGGCCAAGAAGGCGACGACGAAGAAGAAGAAGGACGACGTCAAGGTGCGCGAGCGGCTGCGCAGGCGGCTGGGCGTCGCCGCCAAGCGTAGGCCGCCGGTCGTCAAACCCCAAAAGCTCAGCACCCACCGCCCACTACAGCTGTGAAGAAGTGTTACACCTGTTGGACATATTCTTTTTGTTTTGTCCCTTTTTTGATAAAATAAGTTGAATATTCTGCTTTTATGCGTGGACGGCGTGCGGTGCCCAAATGCTGTTCTGCAAGGCGACCTCAGTGGTATCAACGCGCGTAACTGGCATGATGATCAGCCCGTGATCTTGTCGCTCGTACCGGTTCCGTGGGCCAGGCAATGGTGGCGTTGCCAACGCAGCCGCTCGGGCACCTTGGTGCCAGCTCGGCGCGTTCCGCCGTGTTTTCCCAGGGCTGGTGGCAGGGGTGGCCTGCGGAATTCCCATTGGGACGTGCTGCCAGGTGCTTCTCGAACGACAACGTAACCCTCTCGTTGTTGTTGGTATTGATTCATAGCCACAAGCCATGCGGCAGCGTTCGTCGAAAGGGGCACCGGTGCAGGGACCCTCTTCTTCCCCTCAGCCACAGCTCACGCAGGGCGGCTCGTCGAAGAGCTCGCAAGAAGAACTGGAGGATCCGCTACTCGATGGATGGTGTCGCGTGCCTGCGGTCCGGCTGCTGCTGCGTCTGCTGGGCTGGCTGGTGTTCCCCCACGGGGCGAGGTCGCCCAGCTCGCGCCCCTCCGACTACAACTCGACAGCGGATGATGGTGAAGAGGAGCTCGACAGCCAGGCCAAGGAGAAGCGGATGAAGGACCTCGAGCGCGATGTGGTCGAGGAGGAGAAGCGGTTCAAATTCGCGCTACTCTCTACCACCATCCTCCTCTTTACGCTCTTCAACTTCCTCTTCCTCTTCTTCCTCTGCCCGGGTGTAGAGTTCACCCCAGCCTTGGCCTTCTCCCCCTCACCCGGGGAGGAGCTCATACCCCCAGCCCAATCCGATTCGGGTCCTACGTTCCGCTGGGTCATCACCACCCTGGCGGTCATCAACTGCTCCACCTTCGTCCTACATCATCTCTTACGTAGCATCACTTTCTCGGCCTGCGCCGTCTTCTTCTATCTGAACGGCTCGGTGTGGCTCATCTGCATCATGTGGGGACCCGTGAGCGAGCTGCTCGGGGCCCTGGTCCACGTACCAGTACTGGCCTTCTACGTGTTCGGCCACCGCTCGGGGGCCACGGCGCTGGTCATCACCCTCGTCCAGGCCGTCCTCTACATGGTCGCGTGCCTCGTGGGCATCGTGCCCACGTCGGGCAACTCGCTCAAGCTGGGCCTCACGGCGCAGGTGATGGCCATCATGAGCTCCTACGTGCTGTTGGGCCTATGCGCCGCCCTGAACGAGCGGTCGCGAGCGCAGGCCGTGCGCATGTACCAGGAGGCACACGCGCGGCTCGTCAAGGCCACCAAGGCCAAGGCCCGCTTCCTGGCCAACGTCAGCCACGGTACGGCACGACACGCAACACGACACGACCAACGACACGACATGAGCTCATCGTATGTGTGCGGCGTGTGCTCACGACATGTACTTCACTGAAAAGAGTTGCGGACGCCGCTGCATGGGATCGTCGCGGCGAGCGAGGAGCTGATGGAGCGGGTCACTACCGAGTGCCCGAAGGAGAACCAGCCGGCGGTGCGCGAAATGTGCAAGATCGTGACGGAGAGCAGCCGCCACATGCTGGCCCTCATCAACGACGTGCTTGACTTTGAGCGGCTGGACACCAACCAGCTCAAGATTGAGAACATCCCCTTCGATCTCCATCAAGAATTCACTAAGTTGGTCAAGGTACTGTATTATCGATCACGTGTCAGCACCTGTCCTCATCTTCGGTGCGTGTTGTGTCGTCGCGTGTGTCGTGTGGTGTGTGCCACTCCAGATGCTGGAGCCGACAGCAAGACAGAAGCAGATCGCCCTGACGTATCGCCTGGCCGTGGATAACTGCCGCCGACTGGGCGATCCGCTGCGCTTCGGTCAGATACTGGTAAACCTCGCCGCCAACGCACTCAAGTTCACGCCTGAAGGCGGCAGCGTGAACATCACCGTCACCACCGGCTGCACGGGGAAGCCGACATCGTCTCCCGGCCCAGGCGCCAGCGCAAGAATCCACAGAAAGGCCCCAAACCGCCGCCACCACCAGACCGACGGGCGGACGAGAGCGCCGCCGTGCGCAGCTCGTCGGGCGGAAAGGCGGAGGAGGAGAAGAACGAAGACGGTGACAGCGACAATGAAGACGACTCTCCCTACGACGACGAGAATTTGGTGACGGTCGTGGTGCAGGATTCGGGCATCGGCATACCGGAGGACCACATCCCGCTCCTGTTCAAGAGCTTCACGCAGGCCGACATCTCGACGACGCGCAAGTTCGGCGGATCGGGCCTTGGCCTGGCCATATGCAAGCGACTGTGCCAGCTCATGAACGGCCGAATTGGCTGCCACTCGAGGAGAGACCAGGGCTCCACCTTCTGGTTCACTCTTCCCCTCCCACTCGCCCCCGGTATGCACTCCTCATCAAACTCACAATCTTCGAGTGGCTCACGGCACACGCACACGCACTTGGACAGAAGAAGAGAAAGTACGGTCGCCTCCCGCACGCCTGGACGAAAGGACATCGACAGAGCGTGAGCTGCGTGGCCTGCGGGTGCTGCTGGTCGAGGACAACAAGATCAATCAGCTCATCGGCAAGCAGATGCTGGCCCGAGCTGGCTGTGGCGACGTCGTCGTCGCCCCCAACGGCGAACAGGGCGTCCTGGCCTGGGAGCAACAGGGTCCCTTCCATATCGTTCTCATGGACTACCACGTACGTTTGCCCTCAGCGCAACGATGATGATACTTGTCATCACCCTCCCACGATCTCATCATCATTTCCCAAAGATGCCGGTCATGGATGGTTTGGAGGCGACGAGGCGCATTCGGCAGCGGGAGCAGGAGCTGGGGCTCTCCACGCGCACTCCCATCATCGCCATCTCCGCCTCGCTGGAGCCCAAGGAACGGGCGCGCGGCGCCACCGCGGGCATGGACGACTGGTATTCCCCCCCCCCAACATTCACCGCTTTCGCTTTCCTTGTCCATCGCTTTCGTTCTTTGCTCACCAAGCGCTTGGGGCCAAGGTTGGAGAAGCCGTTCAACCGAAGGGTGCTGACGGCCACGATCCTGCGCTGGGCACGACAAGCACCAACTTGAAGCTTGGTGGGGATGTACAACAGATAAATAAATAAGATAAATAATGATCTACAAATAAATAAAATAGAAAATGTGAAAAAAGGCGGGAAAGTTGTGGGCTCGGGTCAGTGGAAAACCAAAGAGACAACAACGCAAATGCAGATGGAGGGCGAGCTGGCTGCGACCTCCGCCGGGACAGCAGAACTGGGGCGCAACACGGGCGAGTGTTGTCCCATACCTCTAATCACAAAGACCAACAATCAACACAACATCGAACTCTTTCCATTTTTATTCAATCTCTCTCGGCATTTCATTTAGCTTCCATTTCAAGTACGTCTCTCCTTTCGCTGTGTTTCTTTACGCTTTGCTGCTTTCATTTCGTAAACGTAATTGAATTTTCATTCCATTCGTTGTATGTAGAAGGTGAGATCTCCTTGCTACCATCATCATGAGCTCCGTCACCATCAACAAACAACGTGAGGCCAAGAGAGGAGCCGCCACGGACTCGGTGGCCGCGCGCGAGGAGGCCGACACCCAAAGCAAGCTCTCCGCACGCGTACGTTTTCCCCCAACGTGTGCGGTCGTGTGTCATGTGGGTGCGGTAGTGTGCGTGTCGTGTGTCGTGTTCGTGTAGTGTTCGTGCGCTGACGGTGCCAGCGACATGCAGGGCCTGCTGCACATGTACATGTCGGGCACGGTGGTGGGTGTGGCCAACGCGGCCATGTTCCACCCGGTGGACTCGATCCGCATCCGCTACTTCTTCCTCCCGCGCTCCAAGAAGACCGTACACATGGACGACATCCGCGGCGTCAGCTTCTGGAAGGGCATCAGTACGCAACTCTACGACACGACACGACACACGACACACGACACACGCGTACACGTACTGAGGAGTGTCGCACGCGTCAGGTTTCAATATGTTCTCGACGGCGCTGAAGCAGATGGCGTTCTACCCGACGCAGGAGCTCATCAAGCACGTGTGCATTGCCAAAGGAGGTGCATACCACACGACACACACACGACACACACGACACACACGACACACGACACACGACACACGACCAACGCTACGACATGACACGGCACGATTGATAGGCATGAGCGAGGAGCGGGGTCAGTTCTTCTCGAGCATGTTTGCGGGCATGGTGTTG